TTTAAAACAAGAATCCATTCAAGCTCTTTAAATCAGGTTTCAAATCTGAAATCAATTCGCATCGATGATAGTTGCGAAAGGAGGGGTGACGAAAAAAATGATGGTAAAAGGTGGTATTGGTGACGGGGTGCGCAAAAATTATGGTGGTATCATCTTGTTGGAGATTCTAATAGCAGTGGTTTATCTGTTTTGATGGGGCAATGGGTGGTGGTGGTGTGCTTGAGATTTTCAAGAAGGGAATGTTTAGGGTTCGGTGGTATTTGGATATCGTTTGAAATGATGTCAGAAAAATAGGGTGTTTAAAAATTGGGATTTAGTTCAAAAGGAGTGAATGTTAAAGGTTTGCTTAAATTGTATAATTAAGATGAAGAATAAAAAAGGGGTACATTTGAATTTTTTTTAACGAAAGTAGGTGTTTTGTATATTAAACCATTTCAATTTATAGAATCTATATGCATACAGAAAAATGTAAAGAGATACCAAACTAGAAGGGACGGGCCCAACAAAAATAAAATTCAAGGGAAAAATTCATAGGTCAGTCACGTATTTTCAAATTTGTGGGTCACAGATTCCTTTTTTAGTTACGAATTATCAATTTTAAAGTCAAAGTTCAATAGCGAGGTCACAGACACAAAAAAAAAAACCCCCATAGTTCAATAGCGAGATCACAGCCCGAAAAAACATTACAGTTCAATAGCGAGGTCACAGACACCCAAAAAAAACTACCACAGTTTAATAGCTAGATCACAGACACTAGCTAGGTCACAAACACCAGAAAAAACTACTACAGTTCAATAGCGAGGTCACAGACACCAGGAAAAATCACCACAATTCAATAGCGAGATCANCCACCACTGCTGACCCCGCCACAACAATAACAAAAAACAACAACCACCACAAGGATCACCATCACCACCACATGACCATCACTATAGCCCAAAACATACCACCACAGATTCACCACCTCCACAACCACACATTCCTAATTGCAGGCTACACAACAATAAACCCAACTTCCATTAGCTACTAAACACTTACATACGAAATACACAAAGCACAAACACCATCATCACGCTCCACCTCAGCCACCATAAAATAGCTAGAGAAATACTAGAAATCGGGATCTAGAATAAATCTCCAAGAAGTGGACGACCACAAGTGTCACCTGCGTCGCTCACTGTCGTGGGTCGTAGCAGCGTACCCACAGCAGTGCTCACTGCTGCGACGTGCAGCAACGCGCTGCTGGGTAGCAGCAACGAGCATCAGCGTCGCAGTAACGCTACTGCAATTCGCAGTAGAGGGAGAGAGAAGGAGGGGGAGGGAATAAATGGGGGAAGAGGAGACGGAAGAAATGCGGGAGGAGAGGAGTAGGGTTTGGGAATTGAATTTTGGGAGTAGGGGTGGGTATATATTTAATTTAATTTAAACTATTATTACTAATATTAATTATGAAATTAAAACCTGATTTTTTATTAAATAAAGTATAAACCCGATTTTTTAAAATATCAAGCTATATGTATACACAAAAATGTGAAGAGATGCTGAACTAGAAGGGACCGACCCAACAAAAATAAAATTTAACTCCTCGATCTACCCTTAACTAGAAGGGCCCCAGCACAACAAAAATTTAAGGGAAAAATTTATGGTTCAGTGATTTACTTTTAGGAAATCAAAAATCAAGTCCCAATGTTTTAAATTGCAAAAATCAAGTTTTTTTTTGAATTAATTAATTATATTTCACAATTATTATATTAAATTAAATATTTAACTATAATATAATATAATTAACCCCACCCCACCAAACTCCATCTCCATCACCACCATTGCTCCGGCGACTACTCTGGCGACCGTTCTCCGGCAGCACTTAATTCCGGAGACTGCTCCGATTTCGACAATTGTTAAGGTCACAGATATATGGAGGTGGGTCACGGAATATTTCGAGGTCACAGATCAAAACTAATAAAAAAAATTACAGGTCACAGTTAACTTCGTAGGTCACAAATCAAGAATTTTAAGGTCACATGTAATTTTTTATAGGTCACAGATTAAAAAAATTCAAAACTTTTACGGGTCACAGCTCTATTTCAGCGAGTCACAGTCCCAATTTTTAGGTCACGGACACCCACTCAGGTCACATATTGAAAAAAAATCAAAACTTTTACTTGTCGCAACTCTATTTCAGTGAGTCACAGTCACAATTCCTAGGTCACAGACACCCCCGACTACCGCCACAGCCAACCACCACCAAAATATTACATCCACGTAACAACCACCGCCAACACGGCCACAGCCAACAAAATCAATGCACGACCACCGCAAAACAAAGATCTAAAATCCGCACAATTATCGCCACCACTAAAATCTGCACAATCATCATCACCACCGTTTACAAAACACCGACCACCAAAACTCACCTCCACCACCGGATCCACCATCGCCAACAAGGCACAACCCCACAAACCAAAGTACCCAACCACCGCACGCCTCAACACCATAGAACCTAACCATCGCACGCACAGCACGCACACCAACGTACCCACTGCACCCACCACCACCGTCGGATCCACCATCGCCATTAGACCCATTTGATTATCACCATATTTTGGTCAGAAGGCTTTTGTGGAGGATATGAGGGCTGATCAGATTTGGGCTTAGCTTGATTTCCATTGAAAAGTGATTGGTTGAGCTGGAGATCTGAAAGGGGCTCCGACGAAAAATAAGGAGTCGAACTCTACTGCGTAGCAGCGTTCGACGCTACTGTGAATTACAGTAGCAGCGTCGACGCTCCGACAGGAGGAGGGGAGGGGAGGGAGGCAACGCTGCCGTTTGCAGGGCTCGACGGTGCGCCACAGCGTCGCAAATCCGATTGGGGGGGAGAAGGGTGTATAGGAGAGAGGGAGGAGGGGGAGGGGGAGGGGGAGGAGGAGGTGGGTGGCAAGGAGAGAAGACGGAGAGAAAGACGACGAAGAGAGAGACGAGAGTGGGTGAGGAAATGGTGAATTAGGGTTTTAAAATGGAAATAATTTTTCTTTAAAAAAATGAAAAGTATTTAATTAAAATGATAAAAAAAACCTGATAAATGAAAAAAAAAACCTTAAAAACCTGATTTTTTAAAAGTCTAAACTTAATGTCTGGTTTAGTGTAATTTCCTCAAAATTTAAGTCTAAGACCTGCTCTTAACTAGAAGGGTCTAGCCCAATGAATACTTGAATTGGTCAAAAGCCAATAGAGGAGGTCATTTAATGCCCAAACTCAATTTATGGAGATTTGATGCCTATGGGGATGGCACATGAAATTTGATCTCGAGTGTTTAGCTTTATTATTATTATTATTATTATTGAGCCTGTGTAATTGTTTTCAAATTCAAGTGGCGATTGAATTTAATTGGATTGAAGTCCGAAGAATAGAGGATGATGGTTTTGACATGGAAGCCCAATTAATACGGGTGTAAGGGGACATAATCTAATATTCCAGTCGTCACATGTATACCTTGTGAGTGACTAGGTACATTCTTTCCAATCCTCTCCTATATACACTTTAGTCTTATTACATCTAAAGTGGGATAAAGTGGGATTCCATCACAAAAGTCAAACCAAAAGGTAAAGTTAACATATCAACCTCTAGCAAGATCCAATTGCACATGCAAGAAGCACATTCATATACTTTTTATTTTAGATAAGATTTTATATCTTCATTATCGTATTGCATATAAGTTTAGATTAAGTTTATCGTAAATCTGTAAAGAAATATATCTAAACAAACTGTATTTTTCTCAATGAGCAAAAACAAATATATTTTAACAAACTGTATTAACGAGCAAAATGAAGGCACTCTTTAGAGAGAGAATTATCTTTTTTCTCCGGCTCCTTGTCAATAAGATTGGTTAAGTTTATCTTCGTTTATGTAATTGATAGGTCCAATAGAACTTTGATTAGATCAATTTTGCATATAGTGAAATCTACATCATTAAATATTAGACTTCAAAAATCAAATGTACATGGATCCTAACTCTCAATGACGTGTAATTATATTAAAAAAAGTGAAAAAGTGCTGTTGCAGGCTATAATCAAAAGAAGTTATGCTACTAGTCCTGAATTTTTTTTACCTATAATAATATAGTAATGTTCTCAATCTATTGATTAGCACATCAGTCAATATTATAGAATTTTCGTCCTCTTACACGTAAAAACGTTAAGAGTTACTTATAAAATAGTTGAATTTTGAGAGTCGTGATATTTAAATAGTCAAATAAACAAAGCATCTATATTCAAAATTCGTCTACCATGTATTTCAAAAGTTGTGAATGTAGATGCCAAAAAGTTAAAGTTGGGGACCAAAATGTTATGTGATAAAGAAAATCAAGTGAGATGCAAACACACTGTCCATGAAAAAAGAGAAAATAATTAAATGGAACAATTAGACAATCACATCACTTCCAAGTGCGAAGTTAGTTCCTCCCCTCAAATTTCCACACATTGTCACATCTACATTATCCCTTGCTACATTAAAACAAAAAAGGGAGAAAATAAATCAAAATAAGAAAAAGATTTAGATAAATTAATAATGTAATACACATTAATAATATTAGAATGTAGCTCCACAAGGAGCTTACACAAACTTTACTCATTAATTTATGGTCTAATCCCACTCCTAATTTCTTCTACAAAACAAGAACAAGATTAAAATAAATATTCTAGGAAAACTCCTACTAATGTCGTGGCAATCGCGAGCTATCCTTGTTGAACTGTGAATGTTTGTTGGCAAGTGGGACGAAATGAAGAGATCTCATTAACCTTGGACCAAGTACGAGATTCATACTTCGTTGAATCTTATCCATCTCCAAAAATGATTTGCATACCACACAAAGTTCTCCAAGAATCTACTACGATGCACGGCAATCGGGGAACAAGGTGAGGTGACGTGTTCTGGTTCAAATCAAATTCCAAGAAAACAATAACTCTAAATTACTTAAATAAAATATGCACAAAATACGATGAATCTCATTCCTCAAAATCCCTACTCTTTCTAACAAGTGCAAAATACCCAAGAACAGCACAAAATGCAGCAACAACATTCCCTTCTTTGATCAAAATCTTAATCACGAAACCAGTGATTTCACCTGTCAATTTCTTGCCCTCAGCCACCAGATCCCTTCTGGGCTTCCCACAGAAAGTCAACAGGACAAGCACAGTGATCCACGTCACCATGGTGGCAGGCACCGCCACGGCCAACGCCGCCACCATCGACAGAATCCCGAAGGCAATTCCCAACAGCCCAGATGCATAAAGGGCTTCAAACCCAGTTGAAATTGAAGAAGATGATTCGTACTTTGAAAGGACAGATTTTAGGAACTCCCAAGACAGGGAAAGTAAAATTGTGTGAACGGATATGAATAGGAATACCCATGTTCTTCTTTTGCTCATTAGTTTTATGAGTAGTATGGAGGAATATGACTGTTGTTGTGGTGGCGATGGTAACGGTGGAGACGGCGGCAACGGTGGTGGTGGGGTTGAGAGTTTTTGTTCTACGGTGGATTCTGCCATGGATGTTTGGGGGGTTTACATGGGGACTGTTGAATTCAATCCAGATGGCTTTGATTTTTTGGTCTATATTGGTGTTTGTGGGTGTTGCGCAGGTAATATCTAGTTCTAGATGGGTGAGGGGTAATATGTAGACTCGCTGTATGGCTCGTGGTGATTATTAAAAAATGTATGTCACAGTCCATATTCTTTTCTCAACTCCCAAGTTTCCAAATGAAAAAAAAACATAAATATTGGCAATAAAGAAAAAGTGGAATTTTTTGTGTCAACAACTTGTCTATTAAGACACCGTTTGGTAACNTTTGTGTCAACAACTTGTCTATTAAATTGGGGACTTTTTGATGGTGGCGGCTTTCTTCCTCAACAATTGGTGGTGGCATTCGTTCTCAACAATTCGGACTATCTTAGAATGAGATTTGATCGAGAGACGATTCGGCAAATTGACTTTGACCAAACAATTTACACGTACAATTAGTGAGAGGCCTCATTTAATCACTACTTTTACAAACACTAAAAAATGATAATTATTTTAATTATCAACTGTATCATTACTGCTACTTCGTGTCAATGACTAGGAGACAACTAGAAGCACTACGGAGAATATTTCTATGGCTTCTTAAATAACAATATCACTTTCATGCACTTTGACACATGATCATAATACCACATGGTAAAGTATACATAAAACTTGTCATTTCTTACAAAATGTTACAAGATCTTATAAAGTGAGCCCATTTCTTAGCTTTTACAGAATGACAATTGGACTATTCAATCTTTAAAATTTGAAAAAGTCCTGTGAGTGTATGATGGTGCTGAATGGTAAGAGAAGAAAGAGATCAAAGACCATCAATTTGGACTTCCTTTTTACATTAAAGATTCCTTAGCAATGTCAATCGTCAAGAAGAAAAAAGGAAAAATCACAGATCGTGTCGGACCAATTTGTTTGGACATTAATCATACTTCTCTCTCCATGAATAAACAAGAAACAAAACCCATGAAATTGCGAGCGCAAAATCACCAGCAAGCTGTCTAGGCCAATCGTATGCCAAATCGTCAATCCTTCTCTCGAAGTACACCCTCCATAGGGCCATCGAGATGTGAAGAAGAATGCATCCCTTTGCAAAGAAGCCTTGGAACTCTTTATCCCGAACGAAAGCCACCATGAACAAAAAACAACCGATCACAAACAAAAGCAACCCGGCAAATGAATCTGAAATCTGAATTAACAACTGATCATGAGGAGTCGAGCCTAATAGCTTTTGTGCCGTCTCAATTCCGTGCCCGAAAACAGAGATTTCTTTGAGGTAAAACATTATGAATGCTCCACAAGTTATAGATATCACCGAATGTAGAATGCAGATTATAAAGAATGCAGACGATGCCATTAATGAACTCGCAAGCTTCAAACCATGCAGCTATATATATAGGTAGAATGACGAATTAAAGAGCAAAAATTGATAGAAATGAGCTCAATTTAAAGTGGAATCTTGATCTAAAATTGGGAATTGGATTTTCAAATCCCTAAATCATTGAATTGATGTTTAATCTCGATCAAGCCCAAAATTCCTAAAAATTGTGAAAATTTATTCGGACAACATTTGGAGGGGAATGTTAATTGACAATACCTATATTAATTGGGAATCTCAATGCAGAAATATAGAGATAAATAATGGATTGGAATTTGGGAATTCGGAATTGTGGGAATTCTAACACAAAGTTCACGGGGAAGAAGGTTGGTGACAGCTGGCGAGGTTTTATTGGTAAGTGTGCAACTATGTGTAGAGTGCAATAATCACTGGATAATTCAATTTATACCGAAAATATTACTCTCTCTCATATGCGCGCAGGGCCCGCATGAATAAAAAAATCTTAAATATGTGGTCCCCACATCTTATTGTGAATGTATATAAAAAATTAGGTAAAAAAGAGGGTGTACATGTAGCATTGTTCATAGAGTGGTGCCATGTGTACACACAATTTTTTACACAATGTATTCCACCCCCTCACAAGGAGGGGGGCCCACGATTAATTTATTATGTGTGATGTACACACAATTTTTTACATAATGTTTTACATCCCCCTCACATGGAGGGGGGTCCACGATTATTTTATTATGTGTGGGCCCCCCTCCATGTGAGGGGGGTGTAAAACATTGTGTAAAAAATTGTGTACACATAGCTTTATTCTTGTTCATAATCTTTTAGTTAAATATTGGTTTCACTTTTGTCCTGTTAAAATTATAATTTATTTTTTTCGCATATTATCAATCATACATCTTTCAATAAAATAATATTATACGTAATCTTAAAAAAAATTCTTCATTTTCAATCACACATTTTTTAAAAAAAAAATTATTCCAACCATTAAATGAGAGCCAAGCATGGGCTAAATCTTGTGACAATTTGTTCAATTCACTGTTAAATTTGTTAAAAGAACTAAACCAATTAATTTAAATTCGTATCAACTAAGCTTAGTCAATTTTTGATACAATAAGATTGCACGGTCCACACACACCTTGTGCATTACAATTGCATCATTTAACAACAGTAATGACGAAATCAAACATCGAAAATAGATTGCTTTAATTTATAAAATGTTGAAGTTAGAAGTCTTTAAAAAAAAAAAATTGACAGCACAACTTTCATGAGTGTAAAGGTTGGGGATGAAATGTACAATTTTATCCAATTCGATTAATCATACCACACTTGTAATTATAGCCACCACGCTTTGCCAATCGTAAGAACTTCTAACACCACCAACAATTAAGGGTGGGCGCGGGTCGGTTCGGTTCGATTTTTTTCGGTTCCGAAAATTTTCTGTTCTTTAGTAAATGGAACCGTCGGTTTCAAATATAATTTTGGAACCGTTCGGGTTCGGTTCGGTTCGGTTCTATTTTGTTCGGTTCCATACTATAATTAAATTTTTTAACATTTAGAATAATACTACATAAATACAGTTGAAAGTAGATACTAATATTAATAACAAAAAGTAGATACAAATACCAAGTTCAATCTTAACTTTTACAAATTAACGTAATCTAATTTAATAACATACAAATAATAAGTTGTCAAATACAAATACCAAAAAGTAAATATTAATAGTAAAACTTCGATGATTCATATCAATAATTCATTTTCTTCAAACCTTCAAGTCTACATAAAAATGAAATATAAATTAGATGTCATAAAGATAAAATATTTTAAA